CTTGGGGCAACCTGTGGCCTCTTGAGTCTTCCTGTGGTTTCCTGATGCCTCCTGGGACCTCATGTGGCCTCCTGGGGCCTCCTGGGGCCTGCTGGAGCATCCTGTGGCATCCTGGGGGGAATATGTGCCCAAATCTGGCCACCAAAACAGGTGAACCGATCGAGACATCATCCAAATGACTCGTAGAGTTTCCCTAAGAGCGAAGCGGCGAAGCTTGAGAGTAATTCGGGCGCTCTGGCGGGCTAGTTGGCACGAGCAATATCGACGGACGTGTTGTCTTTGGTTGGCCTGTTTAAAATTACATTATCAAAATTCAAAAAGTCGATAGAATTCTAATAGTTTCCCATATTCGATATGGCTCCCGCTCGCCATCTTGATATCAGGTCGATCGGGTGGATATTACTTTTTAAAAACACCTGGGCGGGATCGACTGTCCAGTGTCATCTTGGCAGGCGTGGTCGGTTTTCTCAATTAACTCGAGCTGCGGATGAGCTACACAGCTGTTCGGCACAGCAATCGAAAGGAAACCATCAGGACCGCTAGTCTAATATATCTAGATGCCTGAGGTCGGTCTGCTACCAGAACTCGGACAACAAACAATTCGTACTCTGCTGGTTCGTTGAGAGCTGATGATAATTTTCTCTACGTTTATTCGAGCTGTAGGCTGGCTAAGGAGCTGGACAAATTGTTTACCAAACGTAGATCATCAAACATATTTGCCTTCGGTATCGAGACGTTTGAATCCGGCCTGCAACCAGGGCTGCGACTGAAAAATTATTCGCAATGTAAAAGTTGTACGGGAGATGATGTGCGTTTCCTCAATGCAAGTCGAGCTGCAGGCCAACTACGGAGCTCGGCCGTCGGGATGCATTTGCCAGATGATAATGATTTCATGAACTTAACTCAAGCAGGAAGCAAGCTACACAGCTCTGATTTGCACCGATGGATTCAGCATGATGAGAAGCATCAATATGCACGGGCGGGAAGTTGTGATTCGAGGTATATCAGGAGATAATACTAGAACGCCGTAGTACATGTGCGTAAAGTTGTGTGCCTGATAGCGGTTTTCTGTATTAAACTTGAGCAGAAAGCAAGTTACGGAGTTCTGACGCACATCCATCGATGTAGCAGGATCAAAAACATCGATCTGCTCGCGAGAACTTCTCGTTCGAGGCATATTAAGACAAAATGATTGAATACCACCAGAATTGCGTCGTATGATTTTCTCGACATGACTTGAGCGGGGATAGCTAGAGACGTCTGCCGCGCATAAATACCTCCTGAGCTCGAGGATCGATGAACTGAAGGAATCGACGAGCTAGAAGACCTGTCTCTTCGGCACCGAGGAGCTGGAGGAACTCCGGCGCGGGGTGGAGCTAGTACTTTCTAGAGCTCTTCGGCACCGATGAGCTAGAGGAATTCTGGCGCGGATGAAGCCAAACATAATACATCCTACAAGTTTTAAACTCATATTAAAAGGAAGCTTTCTCCTCGTGTCAAGAGCTCTACGAGGGTCCCCTTGAAAACTCGAAAGATGTATTTTTGGGGGTTTTATACGAAGTCGGTTCCGCCAAGTGTTTTGATAATAGTAGTACAGCTACGGGCCCAAGAATTTGACAGGGAGACGCGGCATAACCCAGTACAGGTCCGAAAAGTGATTCGTTGAGCTTCCCAGAGCGAAGCGGCGAAACTTAAGAGCAATTCGAGCGCGCTGCCGGGCTAGTTGGCTCGAGAAATCCCGACGGAAGTTTTGCATAACGTTGGTCGGTTAAACATGACTTTCTCGAAATTCAACAATTCGCTAGAGTTCGAAAATATGTTTCCCCCATATTCGATCTTATTTGCGCTCGCCATCTTGCTCTCAGGTCGATCGGATGGATACTACTATCAAACAGCACATGGGCGGGATCGGCTGTTCAGTGTCACCTTGCCAGGTGCTCTCGGCTTTCTTAACTCAACTCGAGCTGTATATGAGCTACAGAGCTGTTCGGCACAGCGATCGAAAGACATCATCCGGAGCGCTAGTCTTGCTACCCCTGGGACCAAAACTATTCGTACTCTACTATTATGTTCAGAGATGCTGCTAGTTGTCTCTGTTTACTTCGATGTAGAGTGGCTACGGAGCTGGGAAGCACACCTCGAAACAAGGAAGCACAAGGCATATTTGCCTACAGCATCGAGACGTCCTGAAATCGGCGTGTAACCAGAGGTCCGACTGAAAAACTATTCGCACTGTAAATATTTGAGAGATGATCCATTCAATTCAACCTGTAGACCAGCTACGGAGCTGAGATGCACACCAATCGACACAAAATGCTGCGGAGCACCAGTCTAGAGTATCTAGACGCCGGAAATCGGTCTGCTACCAGAGCTGCAACGAATTTATAATTTGCACTTTTTGAGATTTATGAGAGACGGTGTTGGTTTTCTGAACTTAATTCGATTTGTAGGCAAGCTAGGGACTGGAAAGAACACCGCCCAACCGGAAAGTATCATACACAGTCGCGTACAGTATCGACGTCTGAGATTTGCCTGCTACCAAAGTTACAACAGAAAACTACTCGCACTCTGCAATTTCTTGTGAGTGATGATGTTTGTTTTTTTCCATTCGAGCTGTAGGCTGCTACGGAGCTCAGATATAGACCAATCGGCAGGAAATGCTGAGAAGCGCTAATCTAAAGCATTTAGATGGCTGACTAAAAAACTAGTTGCTTATAACAAAAAGCGGCGCTGGTTTTCTCTACTTCTTTCGAGCTGTAGGCAAGCTACGGAGCTGGGAAGCAGACTGTTCGAGTGGAAATCATGACCAGCGCTAGCCTGCAGTATCGAGACGTCTGAGATCGGTCTGCTACCAGAGCTGTGACAAACTATTTGTGCTGTGCAAACAGTACCAAACTCGCATGCTCTACACGTGACGAGAGCTTCTTAAGATTTACATATATTCTGGAACATCTGTTCAGTTTATGTCGTGTACTTTCTTTGAGTGTGTGTACTTTCTTTGGGTGTTTGTCTCAACTGAACTCGAGCTGGAGACAAAGAACCTGTCAAGCACATTTCTGTGAAACCGCACACCCTCACGCGCGCTGAATGCGAGATTGGCGCGCTCGCATGCCATTCATGTATATATATATATGTATATATATATACAGATGTGTATATATACATATATATATATATATATATATGTCAAGGAAGCTCTACGAGTTCCCGGCGGTAACCAACGTTGACTGTTTACCGCCGGATTCCAGTCTGCCCCCCCTGGGGGGCGAAAATGGGCGCCTCGCTCGAGACATCCTCCAAATCTGCTCCGAAAACGGATGATAATGAGCATGCAAACGGGCAAACCGCTGGAGGCATCCCCGCCATTTGGGCGCGAACGGAGGCCGTGCAATACCCCTGGCGGCCCCCCCTTAGGAGGCGCCTCGCACGAGACATCCTCAACATCTGCTCCGAAAACGGAGGATGTTGAGCATGCAAACAGGCAAACCGCTCGAGACATCCCCGCCTTTTTGGCGCGAGCGGAGGCCGTGCAATACCCCTGGCCGCCCCCTTAGGAGTGCTTAAACCAGCAAACCGCTCGAGACATCCTCATCATCTGCTCATCATCACCATCTGCTCATCATCATCATCATCATCACCATCATCATCATCATCATCATCATCATCATCATCATCAGCAGCAGCAGCAGCATCATCAGCATCATCAGCATCCTCATCCTCATCCTCATCCTCATCCTCATCTTCATCTTCATCATCATCATCATCATCATCATCATCATCATCATCATCATCCTCATCCTCATCCTCATCCTCATCCTCATCCTCATCACAAACATCAGCATCAGCATCAGCATCATACTCATCCATCATTCGCCATCACCATCATACCCACATCATACTCTCACCACAATCATCATCATTGTCTGGTGAGGGAGGAGGGGAGGTGAGAGGTCCGGCGCGGTCAGAGAATAACAAGAACCCCATCCCTTGGATATGGGGAACAACTCGGAGGTCCGCCTTTCGGTGGCAACTCATGGGAGCATCCCGTACCATCGTGTCGGCTCTTGCGAATCGACGATTGTGGACGCTAATCGACGCTAAATCGACGCTACTCGACGCTAGCCGACGCTGAATCGGCGCTATCTCACCGACTCCCAGAAGCTTATCGACGCTAATCGACGCTAAAGACGGAATTCAGAGGGTATACCAGGATCTCATAATTTGCTACCGAATCCGCGCAGCTTTCTCGGATCAGCGCTGGACTCCCCTCCCTGGCGCGCGGAGCGCGCCAGGGGCGGCGCCTCCGCCACGCCGATCCGAGAACTCCGCGCGGAGCTCCGAGATGTTATGCTCATGTCCTTGCTTGTTTCCCTAATGTTGGAGGTGGCATGGGCAAGCGGCACGATCGGGTGGGTGGTAACGGGCGGGTGACCTGAATGGGGGGTGGAGTAGGAGGGCCCTAAAGGGGCTCTTGAGGGCCCCCTGTGAGCCCCTGCTGGCTCCAAAAGGGGCTCTGACAGGCCCCGTTAAGACCCTCTCCTTCACCCCTCATCTAAAGTCACCCCCCCGTGCAGGCCTCGGAAGACATTGGCGAACACCCATGCCACATTCATCTGTCAATGCCCCCCCCCCTTGTCGGCGGTGGACAAACCTCCTTTTCGTAAACCACCCTTTAGTGAAAACGGCCCAAGACCGAAACCGACGGACCTGGACCCGCAAAAATGACGGCCGCGACGCCCTCTCGCGAAACGAAAACGGCCAATTCGCCAATCGACGCGTCAGGGCAGGAGGTCTATATATCAACCTCCGACATTGATCAATGTTGGCGGGTGGGTTGAACGAATTGCACTTCAACCATGGCCTTCCCCTCTACCGCACCACCCGCCCGACGCGCCCCTGGGCCATCCCTCCGGCACGCCAGGCGCCCCGGGTAGCTCGCTCCGTGCCGCGGCGCGGCTTCTTCGGGGGTCGCGCCTCCGGCGCGCATGCCCCCGCCGAGGTCACACCATGCACCTCGGAGCAGGTCGAGCTGAGGCCGGCGACTTCGAAAGGTGTGGTTTGCAGAGGTTGCGGTTTCCAACCAGCACCCTGGGGGCCACCCTGGGGGGTAGGCGAGGACGTCGACAGAGATCTCCGCCGCCCCCCGAGGAGGCCCGACGAGGACAGCGTCGTGCTCCCCAGGCCCCAACGGTGCCGATTGCAAGCCACACCCCGGTGTGACCGTCCCCTTCTGTAGTCGCCGATGAGACGGCTGCGGCTTAAAATCGGTCCCCGGACCCCTCCCGGGCCCCAGACGCACCAGTACTCCGAGCCGCGCCCAGCCGTGGCGACGAGGGGCCCCCCCGAAGGCCAACCACGGCGCGTTCGTGTCGTCACGACTTCGGAGCCGGCCCCTGACACAGCGCGGATCGCTCACCCTTGGAGCGATCAGCGCGTTGCCAAGCGGCGGATCGTTCAATGTCGACTGGTTCTGGGCCACAGGCCGGCGTTGAAAGTCGAACGCCCGCGGTGGGGTCGCCGCCGCGTCGACACGGCGTGAAGCTGCGGCACTGTCGAGACCTTGCCGCAGGAACGTGGGTCAAGAACGTGGCCCCCTTCGCCGAGGGGCCAGAGCCCCCAGGGAGACTCCAGAAACGAACCACGGCCCAGCCGAGGTGGAACGCCCAAGCAGGAAGAACAAAAAGGCACCCCTCCAAAAACAAGTCTATCATTAACTTAAGCATCGTGCCAGCTCGAGGGTTCCGGAAACCCCGAAACCGTTTTACTTCCTCCGCCGCCTTCCGCCGACCATCCGCCGCCTTCCGCCGAGGAAGAGATGCCGACCCCTTCGATCCTCGAGGGCGACGCCGTCCCTGGAACGCCTCAGCTGCACCGTGGCCTCCGCTCGCCCAACTCGGCGCACCTGCCGGGCGCGCCCAGACCCCCGACGCCATGATTTTCGGCGCCGACCCCCAGAGGTCTCGCCCCCCTTCCCCCGGCACGGGCTTCCCCTCCCGAGCCGTTTCTTGGCGGGGTCGGGGGTGCCAGCTGCCCCGGCTCGGCCCCCCCTCGGCTTCCGCTGGCGGAGGTGGCCTCGCCGTACTTCCGCCGCCCTCGGCGGTCCGTCCGCCCGCCTCGGCTGCACCGTTGCCTGGGGGCCTGGAAGTGGGCGCCCACGCCAACACGAGGGTGCGCCTCACACCGGGGGAGAAAGGATCCTGGACTCTGGTGCTGGGGGTACTCTCTCGGCCACCCAAGAAGCCCGAAGATGCTCACCATCGCCAAGACAGCAGGATCGTCTTCCCTCGCTGGACTCAACCGCCGATGCTGGGGCTGGTACCAACCTCTACTAGGCGGTGAGCCCGGAGGGGGAAAGAGAAGGGGCGTGCCTTCTCAGAACGCTCGGAAATTCCCCGGCCTTCTGACAAGTTTCCTAAGCTTTCCCCGAAGACACAAGAAGCTTCTCAGAAGGCTGGAGGGCTTCTGAGAAGGCCGGCCGCCTTTTGAGAAGGCCTTCTCCTGTTCAGTTCCCCCCCTCGCTGTCCGCCGATCTACGGGCCGCACGCCAACATGGATCAGGGGCCCGCAGATCGGGCAGCGCGCGCCGATCTCGCATGGAAACGGAACCCGTCGCTAATCCTCACGCCTCGATCCACATTCGCGTGCCCGCCGTCGCCGCTCCGCTCCTCCTGTCGCCCCTCCTCCTCGTGCTTCTCGCCCTCCTCCTCCTGCTCCTCCTCCTCCTCGCCCTCATCGTGCTGCCCCCCCCCCCTTCTCCTCCTCCCTCCTCCTCCTCCTCCTCCTCCTCCTCCTCCTCCTCCTCCTCCTCCTCCTCCTCCTCCTCCTCGCCTTCCTCGCCCTCCGAGCCGCCTCCGCGCCCCCCCCCCCTGGCACGCTCCGCCGCCCCGCTGCAGGTCGCCGGGCCAGCGCAGCTGGCGCGCGTCGCCCCCAACGGGCCCGCCGCCTCGGGCGTGGGCGCCAGGAGGGGCCCGGGGGGACGCAAACAAATCGACACGCATTCCCGAACCCCCTGGAGTCATGAACAAAATCACGACGGACGGTTTTTCGCTTTTTTGGCCCCTGGGGGACCTTGCCGGGACGCAGGACCGTCAAAAAACGGCTCGGGATGAAAAGCTGGTCCTGGGGGGTCGCGTCATGAAAAAATCATGACGTCGGGGGTCTGGGATTTAAGGAGCTCCAGTAAGGGGGCAACAAAAATGGACCCCCTTCGTTTTCTCGACCCCGTGTTCGCGACCCTTCCTCCAAGGCTCAAGGTTGGCGTCCGGCCTGCTGGAGGCTCTGGGGGGTCAAATTTTTGTTGTTCTTTCGAGCCTGCGCCCCCGAATGCCCAGGGTCAACTTTAAGCAGGGGGAGCGGAGCCAATGATTCCACTTTCTACGGTCTCGTACACCCCTGCTCAGAGTTGAGAAAGACTCAGGCTGAGACAGCGGACTTCACTCGAAGCGTTATCTGAGCTGATAGTCCAGGTCCACATTGACGAAACTTCTACGAAGAAAAGGGGCTCCAAGAAAACGCCCAGGGTCCAGTGCAGATTCTTGATTTTCTTGAACGGAATCTGGGGTCTACGAAAGTTGACGCTTTTTCTTCAGAGTTCTGATGCGTGCTTGCCTTATGCTCCGAACTCCCCATTCCCTTCTGCGTGTCCCCTATTAGCGATTCCCCCCTCCCACGGTTAGCCGAGCTCGGCGCAAACCCAGCTCAGCCACTTCACAAGAAATGCGCTGCAGCTCTTCCGGGGGCGTCCTAAGCCTGGCTCGGCCAACATGCAGGGCCACCTCCAAGGTCGTGAGCGGCTCCCAGACCCGGCCCAGACCCGGCCCAGTCGAACTCCGGCTTCGCAGCATCCAGCAGGATCCCGCTCTCTGGCTGAGCCCCGTTTGCGCTGAGCCCTGTCCCCCAAACCCCCGACGTCATGAATGTTTCACAGCACGGGCCCCCAGAGGTCTCGCCACCTTCCCTGGGACCGACTTCTCCTCCCGAGCCGTTCTTTGACGGCCCCGAGGCCCGGCAAGGACCCCCGAAGGCCGCAAGTTGCCAAGAACCTCGCGTCGTGATTTCCTCACGGCCCGAGGGGGTCGGGGGTGCCAGCTGTCCCGAGGACTCCGCTCGCCCTCCCTCGGCTACATCTGGCGGAGGTGGCCTCGCTGTGCTTCCGCCGCCTTCCGCCGAGGAAGAGTTGCAAACTCCTTCGGTCCTCGGAGGCGAAGCCCTTTGAGTGGGTCCAGGCTGCGTGTAGAATATTCGGGAACTGGGTCCTGAAGGAAGCGGGTCCTAGACCCTGGCGCCTTCCCCCAGGACGAGCTTTTTGCATCCTGAATCGTTTTCTGACGGCCCCAGGGCCCGTGAAGGGCCCCGTCAGCCCGAGAAGGATGAAAAACCTCAGGGCCATTTCACTCCCGGTCGTCGTCGACGTGGTCGTCGTCTGTCGTCGTCGTCGTCGTCGTCGTCGTCGTCGTCGTCGTCCACCGTCGTCGTCGTCGTCGTCGTCGGCGTCGTCGTCGTCGTCGTCGTCGTCGCCGTTCGTCGTCCCTCGTCGTCGACGTCGTCGCCGCTCATCGTCGTCGTCGTCGACGGTCGTCGTCGGCCGTCGTCGTCGTCGTCGTCGTCGCCGTCGTCGTCCGTCGTCGTCGTCGTCGTCGTCGTCGTCGTCGTCGTCGTCGTCGTCGTCGTCGTCGTCGTCAGCGTCGTCGTCATCGTCGTGGTCCTCGTCGTCCTCATCGACGTCGTCGTCGCCGTCGCCGTCGTCGTGGTCGTCGTCGTCGTCGTCGTCCGTCGTCGTGGTCGTCGTCGTCGTCATCATCGTCGTTGGCGTCGTCGATTGCCGTCGTCGTCGGCGTCGAAGTCGTCGTCGTCCGTCGTCGTCGACCGTCGTCGTCCTCGTGGTCGTCGCCGTCGTCGTCGGCGTCGGCGTCGTCCGTCGTCGTCGGACGTCGTCGTCGTCGTCATCTGTCGTCGTCGTCGGAGTCGTCTGTCGTCGGCGTCGTCGTCGTCCTCGGTCGTCGTCGTCGTCATCCGTCGTCGTCCAGCGTCATCGTCGTCGTCGGCGTCGTCTGTCGTCGGCGTCGTCGTTGTCCTCGGTCATCGTCGTCGTCGTCGTCGGTTGTCCATCGTCGTCGTCGTCGTCGTCGCCGTCGTCGTCCGTCGTCGTCGTCGTCGTCGTCGTCGTCGTCGTCGTCGTCGTCGTCGTTGTCGTCGTCGTCGGCGTTGGCGTCAGCGTCGTCGTCCGTCGTCGTCGTGATCGTCGTCGTCGTCGTCGTCGTCGTCGGCGTCCGTCGTTGTCCGTCGTCGTCGTCGTCGTCGTCGTCGTCGTCCGTCAGTCGTGGTCGTGGTCGTCGTCGTCGTCCGTCGTCGTCGTCGTCGTTGTCGTCGTCGTCGTCCGTCGGAGTCGTCGCCGGTTGTCGTCTTCGTCGTCAGCGTCGTCGTCGTCGTCGTCGACCGTCGGTGCCGTCGTCGTCGTCGTCGTCGTCGTCGTCGTCGTCGTCGTAGTTGTCGTCGTGCGCGTCGGCGTCGACGTCGACGTCCGTCGACGTCGTCGTCCAGCATCACCGTCGTCGTTGTCGTCGACGTCGTCCGTTGTCGTCGTCGTCGTCGTTACGTCGTCGTCGTCGTCATCTGTCGTCGTCCGTCGTCGTCATCGGTTATCGTCGTTATCGTCATCAGTCGTCAGTTGTCGTCGTCGTCCGTCGTAGTCGTCGTGGGCGTCCGAGTCGGCGTTGTTGTCCGTTGTCGTCGACGTCATCGGCGTCGTCGTCGTCGTCCGTCGGCGTCGTCGTCGTCGTCTGCCGTCGTCGTTGTCGTCGTCGCCATCACTTGTCGTCCGTGGGAGTCGTCGTCGTCGTCGTCGACTGTCTTCCGTCGTCGTCGTCATCGCCGCCGTCGTCGTCGTCGTCGGTCGTCGGTCGTCGGTCGTCGGTCGTCGGTCGTCGTCGTCGTCGTCGTCGTCGGCTCGTCGATCGTCGTCGTCGTCGTCGTCGCCGTCGTCGGCGTCGTCTGTCGTCGGCATCGTCGTTGTCGGCGTCGGCGTCGGCTTCGGCGTCGTCCGTCGTCGTCGGACGTCGTCGTCATCATCAGCCGTCGTCGTCGTCCAACGTCGCGGTCGTCATCGTCGGTGTCGTCGTCGCCGTCCGTCGTCGGCGTCGTCGTCGGCGTCGGGGTCGGCGTCGGCGCCGGCGCACGTCGGCGTCGTCGTCGACGTCGGCGTCGACCGTCGGCGTCATGGTCGTCATTGTCGTCGTCGTCGTCGTCCGTCGTCGGTCGTTGTCGTCGTCGTCGTCGTCCGTCGTCGGTCGTTGTCGTCGTCGTCGGCGTCGTCGTCGTCGTCGGTCCTCGTCCGTCGTCGTCGTCGTCCGTCGTCGTCGTCGTCGTCGTCGGCGTCGGCGTCGTCGTTCGTCGTTGTCGTCGTCATCTTCGTCGTCGTCGTCGTCCGTCGTCATCGGTCGTCGTTGTCCGTCGTCGTCGTCGTCTTCGTCAGCGTCGTCGTCGTCGTCGTCGGCGTCGGCGTCGCCATGGTCGTCGTCGGCGTGGTCGCCGTCGTCGTCCGTCGACGTCGTCGTCGTCGTCCTCGTCGTCGTCATCGTCGTCGGCGATGGCGTCGGCGTCGTCGTCGGCGTCGAAGTCGACGTCAGCGTCGGCGTCGGCGTCGGCGTCGTCGCCGGCGACAGCTTCGGCGTCGGCGTCAGCGTTGGCGTCGGCGTCGTCGGTCGTGAACGTGGTCGTCGGCGTCGTCATCCGCGTCAGCGACGATGTCGGAGTCATCGTCAGCGTCGGGGTCGGCGTCGGCGTCGTCGCCGGCGACGGCGTCGGCGGCGGCGTCAGCGTCGGCGTCGGCGTCGTCGGTCGTCGTCGTCCGCGTCGTCGTCGTCGTCCTCGTCGTCGTCGGTGTCGTCGTCGTCGTCGCGTGAACGTGGTCGTCGTCGTCGTCGTCGTCCGCGTCGTCGTCGTCATCGTCGTCGTCGTCGGTCGTCGTCGTCCGACGTCGTCGTCGTCGTGATCATCCGTCGTCGTCGTCGTCCTCGTCGGCGTCGTCCTCGTCCTCGGCATCGGCGTCGGCGTAGTCGGCGTGGTCGCCGTTGTCGTCGTCGGCATCGTCGTCGTCCGTCGTCGTCGTTGTCGGACGTCGTCGTCGTTGTCGGTCGTGGTCGTCGTCGTCGTCGTCGTGTCGGCGTCGGCGTCGGCGTCGGCGTCGGCGACGGCGTCGGCATCGGCGTCGTCGTCGGCGTCGGCGTCGTCGTCCGTCCTCGTCGGCGTCGGCGTCGTCGTCCGTCGTCGGCGTCGTCGTCGGCGTCGGCGTCGTCGGTATCGGCGTCGTGGCGTCGTCATCGTCGTCGTCGTCTGTCGCCGTCGTCGTCGTCGGCATCGTCGTCGTCCGTCGTCGTCGCTGTCGGCCGTCGTCGTTGTCGTCGTCGGCGTCGTCGTCGTCCGCGTCGGCGTTGGCGTCGGCGACGGCGTCGGCATCGGCGACAGCGTCGGCGTCGTCGTCGATCGTCGTCGTTGTCGACGGTCGTCGTCGTCGTCGTCATCGTCGTCGTCGTCGTCGTCCGTGGTCGTCCGTCGTCGTCGTCGTCGTCGTCGTCGTCGTCGTCGGTGTCGGCGTCGTCGTCGTCGTCTGTCGTCGTCGCCGTTCATCGTCCGTCGTCGTCGTCGTCGTCGTCGTTCGTCGTCGGCGTCGTCGTCGGCGGCGGCGTCGACGTCGGCGTCGGTGTCGCCGTCGTCTGCGTGGTCGCCGTCGTCGTCCGTCGGCTTCGTTGTCATCCGTCGCCGTCTTTGTCGTCGTCGGTCGTCTTTGTCGTCGTCGTCGTCGACGTCGGCGTCGACGACGGCGTCGGCGACGGCGTCGGCGTCGTCGTCAGCGTCGGCGTCGGCGTCGTCGTCCGTCGTCCGTCGTCGTCGTCGTCGGTGTCTTCGTCGGCGTCGCCGTGGTCGTCGTCGGCGTGGTCGCCGTCGTCGTCCGTCGGCATCGTCGTCGTCCGATTCGTCGGTCGTCGTCGTCGTCGTTGTCGTCGTCGTAGGCGTCGGCGTCGGCGACGGAGTCGTCGTCGTCGTCGTCGTCGTCGTCGTCAGCGTCAGCGTCGTCGTCGTCGTCCGTCGTCGTCGACTTTGTCGTCGTCCTTATCGTCGTCGTCGTCGTCCTCCTCCGTCGTTGTCGTCGTCGGCGTCGGCGTCGTCGCCGTCGGCGTGATCGCCGTCGTCGTCCGTCAGCGTCGTCGTCGTCGTCCGTCGTCGTCGTTGTCGGACGTCGTCGTCGTCGTCGTCGTTGTCGTCGTCGTCTTTATCGTCGTCGTCGTCCTCCGTCGTTGTCGTCCTCCGTCGTTGTCGTCGTCGTCGTCGGCGTCGTCGTCGTCGGTCGTCGTCGTCGTCCGTCGTCGTCCGTCGGCGTGTTGCGTGCGCCCCGTCGTCGTCCGTCGTCGTCCGTCGTCGTCCGTCGTCTGTCGCCGTCGTCGTCGTCGGCATCGTCGTCGTCCGTCGTCGTCGTTGTCGGCCGTCGTCGTTGTCGTCGTCGGCGTCGTCGTCGTCGTCAGCGTCGGCGTTGGCGTCGACGACGGCGTCGGCATCGGCGACAGCGTCGGCGTCGTCGTCGGTCGTCGTCGACGGTCGTCGTCGTCGTCGTCGTCGTCGTCGTCGTCGACATCGTCGTCGTCGTCGTCCGTCGTCGGCGTCGTCGTCGGCGTCGGGTGTCGGCGTCGTGGCGTCGTCGTCGTCGTCGTCGTCAATCGTCGTCGGTCGTCGTCCGTCGGAGTCGTCGTCGTCGTCGTCCGTCGTCGGCGTCGTCGTCGGCGGCGGCGTCGACGTCGGCGTCGGTGTCGGCGTCGTCGTCTGCGTGGTCGCCGTCGTCGTCCGTCGGCTTCGTTGTCGTCCGTCGCCGTCGTCGTCGTCGTCGTCGTCGTCGTCGTCGGTCGTCTTTGTCGTCGTCGTCGACGTCGGCGTCGACGACGGCGTCGGCGACGGCGTCGGCGTCGGCGTCAGCGTCGGCGTCGGCGTCGTCGTCCGTCGTCGTCCGTCGCCGTCGTCGTCGGTGTCGTCGTCGTCGTCGTCGGCGTCGGCGTCGCCGTGGTCGTCGTCGGCGTGGTCGCCGTCGTCGTCCGTCGGCATCGTCGTGGTCCGATTCGTCGGTCGTCGTCGTCGTCGTCGTCGTCGGTCGTCGTCGTCGGTCGTCGTCGTCGGTCGTCGTCGTCGGTCGTCGTCGTCGGTCGTCGTCGTCGGTCGTCGTCGTCGGTCGTCGTCGTCGTCCGTCGTCGTCCGTCGGCGTCGTCGTCGTCCGTCGGCGTCCGTCGGCGTGTTGCGTGCGCCCCGACCGCCCATCTCGACTTCGCTGCCGGGCCCCAGCGGGCCGAGCGGCTCCAGCAGCGGCACGCGCCACGCAGAGGACACCACGCGCTCCTTGGCCGCGCGGAGGACGCCGCGGAGCAGCGCGCCCGCCGCGACGTCCGCCGCGGCGGGGCGGCGCCTGGGCGAGGGCTCGGCCGCCTCGGGCGCCTGCCACGGCACCTGCCACAGGCGCTGCCTGAAGACGAAGCCAGGACGAGGATAACAAATCGGGGGGACGTCATCTAAGCCTCCACGGTGCCGATCGCAAACCTCTGTAATCGCCAAGAACATGAAACACTAAGACGAACCCATGACGAGCATAAAATCGGGTGGGGATCCATTGTCGTCGTCGTCGTCGTCATCGTCGCCGTCGTCGTCGTCGCCGTCGTCGTCGTCGTCGCCGTCGTCGTCGTCGTCGCCGTCGTCATCGTCGTCGTCGTCGTCGTCCGTCGTCGTCCGTCGTCGTCGTCGTCGTCGTCCGTCGTCGTCCGTCGCCGTCCGGCTGCTCTGGAAGATGTCTCGTGCGCCGCGGCCAAATCGCTCCGAGAGCGTTCTGGAACGCTCTGGAACGGATTTATCCTCGTCCTGGCTCTGCCCGATGCCTGTCCCGCGCGCCCTTCAGCTGCTCGGCCGGGTTGCCTCCGGGGGGCCGGCAAGACACGGCATGTGGGCACAGAGTGCCAGCGCTCTGCGCGGATTTCTTGGATCGGCGCCGGGCCCCCTGGCGGCCTCCAGCGGCGCCCCTGGCGCCGCCCCTGGCGCCGCCCCTGGCGCCCCCTCTGAAGCCGCCCCTGGCGCGCTTCGCGCACCAGGGAGCCAAGACTCCTTGTCCCCCGCATTTTGATTGATCTTTCGACTTAGATTTGCGTCAGAAGTGCACCCAAAACGATGCGGCTGCGTAAGGCGGAAATCGGCATCAAAGGAGCTTGAAACGTAGGACCAAAATTCCCGCCCTTCCTGCACCATCGCCCAAAGCACGGCAGATCCAGAGTCGGGGCTGTGGCGCGCCTCGCGCGCCAGCGAGGGGGGTTCAGCGCCGATACAGGACATCCGCGCGGACCTCCAGAAATTATATCTCTATATATATATACATATCTATATATACAAGACTGCAGTGGCGCTTCGCGCCATGCACCTTG